GCATGGTTGAGATATTCCTATGATAAAATGCTATAAAAGCCAAAACAGCAACCAAAGAGCTTACAAAAGAGATAAATAGAGTATACTGAAACAATAGGACAGCTCAAAGTGGCTCCCACAGCTAGAATGGATGGATGAAAGAGAAGATTGTTTAGCCTGTCTTTCCCTCCAAAAATCCGCCATTTTACCACCACTTTGGTGGCGCGTTAATTAGAATCATTTCGGTGCATAAGGTCCATTGCATAACCTACATTCCTTGGCATCACGTGATGAATCATGGCAGAATTAGGGAAGGCAAACAACGGTGCAACGAACAAACGATTGAGGAGCACTCCGACTAGAAGGACTCCTGTAAATAGGCCTAAAAGACGTCCTGCTGTCTCTGCTGCTGCCATCAAAGGTATTCAATTAGTATAGCGGCGTGGTGAACAGAAGGAGAAGGTTTTCAAGTTGAGGCTGTTTCTCGGGACCATCATTCATTGCGTAGTAAGTCAAAACTTTTTGTTTTAAACTTTTAATGTTGTGGCCGTCTATTTAGTTTGTGATAACATCTTTTAGGCACCAGTCCACTATTCCTAACTTTTAATTTTGTGGCATTCTATTTGGTTTGTGATAACATCAGCCCACTTTTCCACCTAGTTCCACCTGTGTGTTACTACTTCATGTACAATTACAGCTGGCTCTAATTAACTCACCTCTATGTGGTGAAGAGGCTGCTTTCTGAACGATTTCAAGTTGAATCTGTTTTTCAGTCATTCAATAGTAAGTCATAACTTTTTGTTTTGAACTTTTAACTCTACATGGCAATGATGGCCATATTTACAAAGTCACTGTTAATTTACATTTGACTGTAATTATTATAATTTTGCCACGTAATTTTTGAGCTGGTTTTCTGGTAACGTACATGTTTGTGAATGTATGCTTGTTTGTATGTGTATTTATGTAGTACATTCCCGCATACCTTATTTAGCACAATAGGTGATAGCTGCACTAAAGCCATAGTTGGGCATGTACTTAAGTTAACTGTAATATAAAAATGGCTGCTGAACTGAGCAGCAAGAGACCAGAGACCTTGGAAGCAGAATTTGACCTCACCTTGTTGTACCAGTCACTTTGTACCACTCTGAAGAGATTTGTAGTTTCCAAGCACACAAACCATGTTTGTTATTGACACATGAAAAGCTCTTTGATCATCCTCCTTTAGTCTGGTCCTTTTGGACCCGNAACATCAAGAGTAAGGATAATGATAGAAGTGAAAGAATATGTGGTACATGTACTTTTGAGACGGGCTTGTTGATCTTAAAA